AAATTGTCACAGGAAAATAACAGTTTCCAAACAATTTTTAAATTAAAACTAATTAATTTTCTAATATAATTTTATATATTTAGGTGAGTAGTATAGAATTCATTCAAAATATTATATTGTGTAATTTTTGCCTCAAAAATCATTAAACGACAGTTCCTTGTTAATTTTTTAAAGGATAATAGTTATTGGAGAATTTGCAATAAAATAATTTTTAGAGATATTGTAGGCCAATGTTTACACAGTGGTGTGTAAATAAATCCATAAGCTTTAAAAAATTATAGCTCAAAATTGTTAAATACTTAATTTTCTGCGCCAAGTTTGATATGGTAGAAGATATTTTACTTTGTTCAAATTAAAATGGAAACTTTAATTTGATGTTTCCTGATTGAAGTAAGATAAATATTTATAAATAGGATCTTGACAAATAGCTATTTGTATAGTTCTATGATTTGCATTTGTATCAAAGTACAAAGATGACGTGTAATTTCGGCTTCAGTGTTCATGGTATAATAAGTAGACATTAACAGACAAAGTGGAAAATACTAGAATATATAGTACATTGCAATCTGTAATTTCAGCCCGGTACAGATTCTTCCTCTATTGGCTATATATTTTTATATTTAAATAACTTGTCAATTACCTTTAATGTCAAAATAATCGTACGTGAAAATGTTAATTAAAATATATTCAAGTAAAAAATATAAAAGTCTTACAATGAATAATAAACGTTCATTTTTTTTCAAAATATAATCATAATTTATAAGTTTAGGTAATTGATGACTAATAAATGCTGTGATTTATTGGTTTATACAGGTTTAATAATGTGTCTTTGTGAAAGTAACTCAATGATTCTAATGTGGTCATTTAGCCTACTAAATATTGTAATTTGCTAATTCTTTTGTAAGTTTTTCTTTGGTTTCTTTAAGTTTATGTAAAAAATAAATAAATCATAGATTTACGACCTTGATCTGTTTCCTGGGTATAATATGAATTTTAATTTTTTCCATTAAAAAAATGTGCATAAGTTGATTATTCAATACTGTAAAACAAAAAACTTAAAAGACATTGGATGATTCTGCATATAACATCGTCAAAGCCATAAATTGTGTTCTGCCTATTTTTCTTTTATAAATTCTAGCTTTAGAATATGCATATTATGTATACATGTATTTAAAAAGTCGTTCTAGAATGAAATCATAAATGAATACAGCAATACGAAGACAATACCGCCAGTAGATTACAATTGCAAAAACACTATTTCACAATGCTTGCGTAAATGATAAGAGAGCTCTAGTAAATCTAACGGTGCAACATGAGATAAAGGATTGCCCATTACTGTAGATCCAGTTAACTGTATGAGACAAATATATATATATATTATAAAAATAGCGTAGGTCGTGTATTTTAGTGTTCGGGAAATATTAAATGCTTACAAGCCATGAATGTTAGCTACTAGTTCTGAGAAAAATAAAATTCGTTTGAACATAATAAGGTTTTATCTGAATATTCTATAATGTTTAATGAAAACGAAAAAAGAAGAAAGTACAAATTAGCTCAGGCCAAAAATTTATAAACTGTTTAGTTTCAGTAAAAGTACTTGAAAACTACAATTACTAATTTACTTCCCGTAATAAATAATTATGTTTTCGAACTTTACCATCACCAATTTTGAAGTCTTCGAAATTTATAAACCTTCGTAATGCCCCCCCCCCCCAGCCGGGGTTCGATTCCCCGCGGTGGACACAGCAGATAACCTTTGTAATGATTAACTGTAAACTAAAATTTACGTAAAATCAGTTTGTAAGGTATTAAAAACGGGTTACCTTAATATTGTTTATTGACAGAGACTAATTGCATTGCATACCATTCCCAATATTTAACTGTATATTCTATGAGCATTTACAAACTAATAAGTATTTAGAGAAAAGTTAGAGCCCTAACCAGGTAGACGATTTACAAATTTATTTTATTTTCAAGTACTTAAGGAGGGTTGTATCAATCATTATCATGATTAGTGACCTATATTAGTTACTGTTTTTTAATTACTATCTCATTTGTCCCCTGATAAGACAGCGAAAATTTTACGGACTTATAACACTAAAATCCGGGGTTCGATTCCCCGCGGTGGACACAGCAGATAACCTACTGTGGTTTTGATAATCTGTTTTCGTTTCAAAATCTGAGGATTCGTTTCAGGGTATTCTTAATAAATAAATTGATGTGCTTTCTACTTTTCTAAGGACATGAACCAACTAACGATTTTTGTTTTAATGTTTTCAAGAGATGTATCCAGGTTTTGCTCTCTTTTATGCTAGGTTGGCTGAATGTTTTATTGGTTAGGTGGATGTAGAAAGTTTTTATCTTTGTTTTTTACTTATGTGATTCATATTATTTTAGTATTATTCTAATTTATCGTTTGATCTCCTTCATTGGCGTGAAGAGTTATTGCAAATAGATCGTATGTCTATTATACTCCTGAATTCTATCTTTTGTAGGTCATTTTGTTTCTCCAACGTATTGGAATCCACATTCATAAGGGATGGTGTAACTAAAGTTTTTACTCTGTATTAGGTCTTTGAATGGTTTTATGTATTAATTGCGATCGTATTGTGTTGTGGCTTTTGAATACTATTCAAACTCCATACCAACACCGCAGGCACACCTAAACGCACAATAATAATTAAGTAATGGATTAAACTTGCCCCTAACACATGAGAAAATACACTAGACATAGCTACAACTACAGAAGCCTCAACTTATACTCAACCAAAAGAAGAAAAAGAATTCAGCTTAAAAATAAAGCCGGTAGTTCCGAAAGCATTGAAATGTAAACTTTACTACAATGAAAAAAATAGTAACTATAACCCAAGCGCTTATATCCACGCCAAACAGTTTTCCCCAATTAAAGAATGGTCCCCCTTTCCTAAGCGTCATGCGTATTTTTGTTTTTCGTTGAGTTTTTATACCTACGTGTTTTCCTAACGTCATGAATGAAAACCCATTATAATATTACCCTACAAAAAAACCTTTGAAACTGAATGAAAGACATTAACATAACAATCCTACCAGCAGATAAAGGTATTGCCACTGTAGTCACGGACAGAAACGACCATAAAGCTCCAAACTCTAGTTTAAGATAGCCACTACACGAATATCAAGTCTAACCTAACTACTAACACAACAAAAAAAAAAAAATACCTCAAGTAACATCTTGAATATC